CTTCCCCAGACAGCCTGCTAAGGCGGGGGGGGAGGAAGCGAAGATAGAAGGGGTTTAAACTTTAAACCCCTTCTCAGCTGGGGAAGGGGAGGGGAGGCCCCCTAGAATAGAATGGAGAGAGAAGGGGTTTAAACTTTAAACCCCTTCTCTCTTCGCTCTCCCCCCCGCCCGCCTTGGCAGGCCTGCTGGGGAAGCAAAAGGGGGGGGCATCTTCAAAAGCCTCCCCTTCCCCAGTCGGTTTAAACCCCTTCTCAGCTGGAGAAGGGAAGGGAAGGCTTTTGAAAATGCCCCCCTTTGCCTCCTCTTCTGACATCACTTCCGGTGATGTCAGGGGGTGTGGCATATGCTAATGAGTTATTATGCTAATAGCTTATTAGGTATGCTAATGAGCTCCTGCAGCTCTTTTTCTACGAAATGACCCCTGCATACAGATATAAATCTAATAAAGTTTTACCATTCACACATTAAATCTTCTGGAGTTTTAGCAGTCTTTCGTCATGCAGACTTGCCCCAAATCATACTTCGCTGGTGTATAGAGGCTTTTCCCTCTGTGTACTCATCGGCTGCAATGAGATGGGGCCTTTTCTGTAGTGATGCCTCAGTTGTGTAACTCCCTCACTGCTGCCGTTTGCTTGGTGCCTACTTTTTAAAAAGTTTCTGACATCAAGTACAGGACATTCTAGCTATCAGTGACATTGTCACTGGATACTACTATTATTATTCATGTCTTCAAATGTATGCATGGTGGACACAGTCACAATTTGGCTTTGATTGATTTAGCTTTCTAGGCTCTTCTTGTTTTCAGGAACATGGTATTCCAACTGATATGGGATATGCTGTGGCCCCTCACCATTCTGGTGTCTACCCTGTTCATGTTCAGCTTTATGATGCATGGAAGAAAGTCTGGAATATCAAAATCACCAGCACAGAAGAGTATCCACATTTGAAACCTGCCCGATACAGAAGGGGCTTCATCCATAAAAGTATCATGGTAAGGGGGGGGGGGGTCCTGATCGTCTGTGTTCCAGTTACTTTTTCAGTTTTTTGTGAGCAATTTCAAGAGAGAACAAATGTTATATTAGCTCAGAGTACTGAAAGTTCACTTTGTCTGTAGCACATATGTCAAGCACAGTCATTATTTTTGACAAGCGGTGGCTAACAGAAGTCAGTATTTTAAGCTTTTCTTCTGATCAGCATGACAGTGTCTGATTATGCTGTCCTTTGTTGGAACTGAGCACAAACAGCAAACTTGTTCTGGGGGTCAACTAGAAATAGGGGGTCATAGAATCCTTCTCCCCACCAATTCCACCAACACAGTATTTCTCCACTGGCATCCTCCTCCTTGTGCTTGTCTACAGTACGCTGGTATTTTCTTGTTGGACTGTGGGATTCACAGTCTTGTTGGACTGTGGGCATCTTCATTCACTACAGTATCTGACATCAAAACAGCAAATGGCAACTAAGAACCAAAACTGTACTAAGCTATACCATTTCAGGTAGAGGTGTAACTGAGTGTTTGAATGTTCCCCTGCATAGAAGCGTTCCCTACATTTTTTCTACACATATAAGATCCTACATATACTACATGTTAAGAGTATTTTATGTAGAAGTACACTTTTATATACCATCCCACCATTCCAGTAGAAACAGAATGAAACTAGCTTTGCCCAAAGTGCAAACAACCCCAAATAGAAAACAGTCAACTTGTCTGTATAAAAGAGAGTCCTTACTTTTTTAAAAATAGTGAAGCCAGAATCATGTAGGTTTTGAGCGCCCGAAGACCAAACATCAGAAAGTCACAAACAACTGGTAAACATGTTGATTACTGCAGCTAAAATTACCATAGCAATGAAATGGAAGGATACACATCCCCCTAACATCCAACATTGGACGCACAAAGTTTGGGACATTTTTATGCTAGAAAATTTCAACACTCTATATACAGAAACACAAATGGAATGCAATTTAATGAGTCCTTTAAATGTATGGTACCCTATAATTGACAAAATGGATATAGATAAATTCGATTGGGAATCGATTAGAAAGGTTAAGTTTAAGCTCCTACTATATAATTAGATTTACCATAATAACTCCTACAAGCACCGCCTGACAAGTTAAACCATAGAGCTACATACATGTTGTAATGCTTTTAGAGTCCAATGCGGTATTGAAGTTAAAGATATGTTACTTTTTATATTCCAGTGTTCACAGATGCACTTTTTGCCTCACTTCCTGCTCACAGACGGTTTTAATGTTTTATTGTAAACGGATAGTGATCCTAAGACAAATCTAAGCATGTTATTGATAGTTTCCATACCCCAGACATTACTACCCTTTGTAGTTATTTACATGCACAGTGTTCTTATTGTATGTTTTTTTAATATATTGTTTCTTGTTATCGTTGTTTTATATAGTTGTTTACTAATTGAAAATTATTAATAAAAATATGATTTTTTTTAAAAAAATGTAGGTTTTGAGCCAGCACTGGCAAACACTATTTATTTATTTAATTTTTTATTTAGATTTGCTAGGCCACCCTTCCCTGCAAGCAGGGCTCAGGTCGGCTTACAAGAAATAATACAGTTAAAACCAACATTAAAATGCCTATAATGTATCAGGAAATACACATGGACTGAATTATTTTACTCTGGCTCTGCTGGACTATCTTATCTCTGCTAAATACCATTTTTTCAATATCTCACTATCATCACCCAACAGAGAGTGCCAGACCTCAGACTGTCCCATCGCTGTCCTCAGCCGAATGCTGGAGGAATGTCGCTGCCTTGCAAGCCCCGTGGAAAGATAATAGATCCGGTAGGATGTGGATGTTCTCCGGCAGAGTGTCCCACCCGGCTGGGGCCGAGGCCGAAAAAGCCCTGGCCCTAGTTGAGGACAGCCAGATCTCTCTCAGGTTTGGGACCACAAGCAAGTTCTTATTCCCAGAGTGTAACGTTCTTCTGGGGGCAGACTGAGAGAGGCGGCCCCAAAGCAAACAGGCCACTGTGTTTGATACCAACTAAAACTTCCAAGTTGTCTTCAAAGGTAGTTCTGGATAGAATGCGTTCCAGCAGTCCAGGCTAGAGATTAATGAAAATATGAATCAGTATAGACAGGTCAGCTGAGTTAAGAAGGGAAGACATTGCATAGACAAGTTGCTTCTTATCAAGCACAAAGTTGGACCCATGAGCATCCCCAAACTTTTCACTGATTGGCTAAATACAGCCAAACCCACTCTGAAGTTGACAGACCTCATCCAGAAGATCACCTTTCCTGACCAGTATCACTTCTGCCATACCTGAGTTCATTTTCTGCTTGTTTACCTTCATCCACTCACCACACCATTCGGGTGCCTTGGCCTAGGAACAGGAGACCTGCTTCTGAAGACTTATTTAATGATAGGCATAACTGAGCATTATGTGCTTATGAAGCCCAATTCCAAAGCCACAGATGATCTAATTCAGGGGGCTGACATATATATTAAACAGCACTGGCAAAAATGGAGACAAAACATTCAAGTGTGTTAAGAAATAAATGAATGTTGTTAACTTACATATATGATAAACAAATGTCGGTTAAAGGCATAACCAAAGATAAATTAAGAAGCGTTCCAGCAAAGTTGTGTTGTTCTGGGAATTCTTTGCACAGTGGTGCACTGGAATATAATGTTGTGCCAGTTGCTGGCATGCTGTTATATGCATGCAGCTTCTTTGCATTTTCCTGTCAAGAAAAATACGCATTTAAGTCCTGCTGGTTGCAGTGGGAGAGTTAAACACATGTTACATCTTTCCATTAAAAGCAATTGAACTCTGAAGTGCTTTACTTTAGCTAGATCATGCCCTGACTGTCCTTTTTCTCTACAGGTTCTTCCTCGACAAACCTGTGGCCTTTTTACACATACTATTTTCTACAAGGAATACCCTGGAGGCCCAAAAGAACTAAACAAGAGTATACAGGGAGGGGAGCTTTTTTTCACGGTTGTTCTCAACCCAGTAAGTGCCTAAATTATTTTTATATGCTTGATAAAAGGCTAGCCACAGTGAACCATCTTACATGCAGTTGTGAAAAGAGTGCTAAGCTTTTACAATTTTCAGAATATTTTTCTTTAGTGGGTCTGTTTCTGATATGTTTACGGTCAGGCACTCTTGCTTGGATTGCAAAATTTAATAATACTAGGCTTCATATTGCTTACTGTTCATAAAATGGTGGTAAAAGTTCTGAGCAAGCCCTGTGTTCAGTTGCCCGCGCCAAAGTGCTGCGGCCCAGGAGAAGCCTGAAGAGCCCCGCATCTGGCTTTCACAGGCCCGCGCAGAAGCGCTGGGGCCAGGTGGAGGCCCGGAGAGCCCCGCAGCCGGGTCCCCCGGGCCCGCACAGAGCCGGGGGGATGCCCAGAGAGCCCCGCAGCCAGGTCCCCTGGGCCCACACAGAAGCGCTGGGGCCAGGGGGAGGCCCGGAGAGCCCTGCTGCTGGGTTCCCCGGGCCTGCGCAGAAGCGCTGTGGCTCGGGAACCGCCCAGAGAGCCCCACCGGCGGTAAGTAAGGGATCCACGGGGTGGTGGGGGCTTGATGGGGGGGGAGAGCCTCCCTCCATCTCTTTGCCATCTTTCCCTCCTTCTTCCCTTCTCTCTTTCTTTCTTTCCCGCCTTTTTCTCTTCTCTTTTTTCCTCCTTTCCGTCTTTCCCTCCTTCTTCCCTTCTCTCTCTTTCTTTCCCTCCTTCTTTCCTTCTCTTCCTTTCCCTCTTTCCTTATATCTTTTTATCCCCTCTTTCCTTCCTTCTTTTCCTCTTTCTTTCCTTCTCTTTCTTTCCCTCTTTCCTTCCTTCTTTCCTTCTCTCTACACTCTCTCTTTCCTTCCCTCTTTCCTCCTCCTGTGGCCCAACTCTAGTGAGAAGGGGTTTAAATTTTAAACCCCTTCTCTCTTTGCTCCCCTCCCCCACAGGCCAGCTCCCCCCCTTTTGCTTCCCCTTCTGACATCACTTCCGGTGATGTCAGGGGGAGTGGCATATGCTAATAGCCTAGTAGCTCATTAGCATACCATATGCTAATGAGCTCCTGCAGCTCTTTTTCTGCGAAATGACCCCTGGGTACTACACAAAAAATCTCAAGGGGAAACTCATAAGAACATAAGATGAGCCTGCTGGATCAGACCAATAGTCCATCTAGTCCAGGATCCTGTCTCACACAGTGGCCAACAAGTTCTTCTGGATGGCTAACAACAAGGCATAGAGGCTGAGGCCTTCCCCTGATGTTGCCTCCTGGCTCTGCTCCTGCAGATCCCCAGTCTCTCAGGAGAGGTTGTTTCAACCAGCAGTGGACCCCATCGGGTTGCCCTAGGAGTCTATATACCAGGCATCTTGACACAAGTGGACACAAAGATGGATGCCAGAACTGGCAGGCCCTATAATCATGCCTAGGCAGCAACCCTGGGAAGCACATGAGATCTTGTTCTGACAGCTGCAATGCCCTCTGCCCTGCCGACGTCTGCATACTCGGACAATGGATTTGCCTCAGCCCCTAATCCTATCAATCTCGCCTCATTCTTCCTCCCCACATTTCCTTTATAACCAAAATTCCTGATTTCTATTCCTTTTCCACATCCCAAACTCAGGTGGCTCATCAAGCAGTATTGTTTCCATTTTGATTAGGTTAAATTAGCAGTACATTCGTTCTGCAACCATTGGAGGAAGCAATCAGGAACCCAACCCCAATTGTACTTTACATCCAGAAGAGAACCTCTGGTCTCTTTTGTCCACTCCTGGGAACTCTACACAGCGTTTCCAAACTACGGTCCCGGTCACATGGGCAGGAAAATGCGGGGGGGAAACGTGGCTGTTAGCCCCGGGGCTAAAAACCACGCAGTAGCTCGAGCAGACCTACTGATCGAGGTCCCGTGGTAGGGGGGAGGTGCCGATCACTCCACAGTCCTGCGGCGCGGCAAAGAAGCGGGGTGTGGGGAAACGGGGTTGGGGTTTTTTTAAACTCAAATGTGTGCATGCTCCCTTGGGTGCTTGTACGCATCCGTGGAGACTTTGGAAAAAAAAACCTTTTCTCGAGGGGACATGGGCGGGCGCTGGAACTACCACCAGGAACGCGATCAGACGCCCACCCTTGCCCCGCGGTTTTAGGAAACTAGTACCTCCGAGGTACTAGTTTTTTACCGCGCATCTTCCCGCGGGAAGCCTTGGGTTCGCCACGGGAGCTCGATGCTTCCCAGATGTGGCGGTGAGATCACGCCTGGAAAATGCGCCTATCTCCCGTCCCTCTAGCGTGCCTAATGCTCCGTGTGACTGCAGCCTACATTGTTTTATAGAGGACCACACCCAAAGAGTGGTGGTCAATGGCATCTCATCAATTTTTATCAATGATCTGGATGAAGGGGTAGAAGGGCTACTCATTAAATTTGCTAATGATACCAAATTGGGAGGAGTATCAAATACCCCAAAAGACCTGAATACTCTGAATACAACAAGACCTGAATACTCTGGAGAAGTGGGCAGTTGCAAACAGGATGCAATCCAACAAAGATAAAAGCACAGTATTACATCTGGACCACATACTGGATGGGGGATACGTTTCTGGGGAGCAGTGTATGCAAAAGAGTGGTAAGGGTGGACTGTAAACTAAATATGAGCAGTCAGTGTGATGCGGTGGCAAAAAAGGCAAATTCAGTCTTGGGTTGTATTAAAAGGGCCATAGCATTAAAATTGCAGGAGGTCATAGCCCCTCTGTATACTGCCTTGGTCAGGCTGCAACTTGAGTACTGTGTGCAGTTCTGGAGGCCTCACTTCAAAAAAGATGTGGACAAAATCGAGAGGGTGTAGAAGAGAGCGACGAGGATGATCAGGGGTCTGGAGACTGAGCCCTACGAGGAAATGTTTAGTTGGAGAAGAGGAGATTGAGGGGGGGACATGATTGCTCTCTTTTGAAAGGCTGTGCTTTGGAGGAGGGCAAGGAGCTGTTCTAGTTGGCAGCAGAGGATAGGACCTGAAGTGACGGGTTTAAATTACATGCAGAAAGTTATTGGCTGGATATTAGGAAAAAGTTTTTCACGGTCAGAGTGGTTCAAAGGTGGAATCAGCTGCCTAGGGAGGTGGTTAGCTCCCCTTCACTGACAGCCTTCAAGAAGAGGCTGGACGAATATTTGTCAGAGGTGCTTTAAGCTGGTCCTGCACCGGGCAGGGGGTTGGACTAGATGGTCTGTATGGCCCCTTCCAACTCGATGATTCTGTGATTCTATTCCTGATTAATCTCATCAGTGTTTTGTTCTGAGGGACCCCTAGCAAGCCCTCTGGATACATTTTTCGGTATAACTAGCCCATCACAGCCCCATTGCTTTGTTCTTGTTTGTGCCTACCAAAACGCACCCCTAATATACTGGATCCTTCCTCAATGTGAAGCGCTGGTCGTTTTGCCATCTCTCCTTCTTCACAGCTCCTTGACTTCTTCAGGAAAGGTAGCTATTGCCTCACTCCCCACTATTCTCCTACATGTTTCCCAAAGGATCATGGGGATGCTTTTGGAAGATTCATTATGACCTAGGTCAGGGGTGTCGAACTCATTTGTAATGAGGGGCAGGTGTGACATAATTGAGACCTTGTTGGGCCGGGCCATATGTGTCATAAAATGTAATGCCGGGTAGCGGGGATATAAACTTTATAAAGGACACAAACACAAAGATTTTTTAACTTTTAAAAAATGCTTAAAACATTACCACTCTTGCAATAGTTTGTTTGTTTAACAGTGTCTGATGACACCTCTTGCTCTGAATTATTGCATCAAAATGTCTGTGCTGTTGCAATCTTGAGTGTACTGTTCAAGTGTGTATCTTTAAGCTGCAAACCTACTTTTGATTTATTGACATTCACTACAGAAATCTCATGCTCAGAGTTCTGAGCCTAGGATCCAGGGGAAAACATGAAATGGCTGGGCATTGTGAGCTTTTGTACATAATTTGCTTTGTGTGCTGGTCAAGAACACGAGAAGGCATCATGACACAGACTGAGGCTGTGTGTTTGTCTACAAAACTAGTTTTCCTCAGTGGTCAGTATCAGCCTAATATCTGGGAAGTCTAAGTTCAAAATCCCCAAAGGAAATGTGCTAGGTGAACTTGGTCTGGACACACAGTCTCAGCCTAATCCACCTCACTGGCTTGTTGTTATTCCTCATCTAAATAGTTCAAATGGCTTTCCTACTGAGAAAGATTGGATCATGAGGGCATGAATACAGTGAAAAGGAGGAGGGAACCCAGTTGCACCCAGGAGAGCCACAGCATAACAAGCCCAACAAAGCACACACATTGTAGCAAGGCACACAAAACCTCATACCTTGGATATAATGCTGTTGGTCTTAAAGTTGCTGCTTTGTATTTCTCCCATGCAATTGAGGCAGCCGATTTTATTTATTTATTCATTCAATTTATACCCCGCTCTCCCCGCCAAGACAGGTTCAGGGCAGCTGTCCTGACAAGCAAAGCAAACTCTCCCTCCTTCCCTCCCTTGCTTTGGGGAGGAGCCTCAGCCAATGGAAGGGAAGAAAGGCTTTTTTTTAATTTATGGTGCGATTGAGGCAGCCTGGCCAGGAAGCAAGCTCTGGCTCATTCCCTCCCTCTGATTGGGAAGGGGAGGGAGTGCAGGGAACAGAAGCTTGTCTATCTATCTCTGTTGAGCAACTGAGAGAGTCTGGCAAAGCAAGCTACAATGCAGCAGCAGCAGAACTGGAAGAAGAAGCAGGAGGCAGCCAGTTCCACTGTGCGCCTAATAGAAGCCCTCCAGGGGCCTGATTCAGCCCACGGGCCGCATACAGCCGGACTGGACTAGCAGAAAGGGGGATGATTGGAAAAGTGCTGAAGGTACCACTCTTGAGTGCCCCTATAAGCTGCCGGTGGTTGCTCTTGGGGGTGGGGCTTCCCCCACTGGCCATTGATGGGCAGGAGCCCACAAAATTGGGGAATCCCCTGCCCCCACTTGGGGACTGGCATTCCTATTCAGTCAAGA